TCACACATAGGAATAAATTAGCTTAAAATACTATATTATTATCAGCTGTTCAATAACACAACAAAAACAACATAAAAAAGCATAGGTAACGCAATAGTATCTGTAGACTCTGTGGACTCTGTAGTATCTGTGGACGCTTATTTTCGTCTCTTTCTAGTGTCACCTTTTTGTTTCACCAAGATTCAAATAACACCGATACTAAAAAGGTTTCCATTTCAAAAGCTAATAGACTTTTAAGTCATAATCATAATAGCATATCCGACTCTTATTGATAAGATAGTGTGTGTGTATGGTCTCAAGCATTCTATCATAAAAAAAAAAAACATTCATATGGAATAGCAGTATTTATGACATAATTCAAGCATAAGTAGCAGCAGTCTTGGCATTGCTGACGTCCATGAATGACGGTAACCACTCGCCATCAGGTGGACAGTATGCTCGTCTGCCTACAAGGGTAATAAACAACAAAAAAACTAAATTTTACTTCTCTATACTATATGGCTATATGTATATTTCTTTTATATGTTCACGTTGCCCAATATTTCTTAGACGCAAATATTAACTCGGAATCTCAGATATTGTGAAGGGCTATAAAATTGACAATAGAAAGTCGTGGGCCGTTTCTCTTTGTTAAAATACCATGACACGCAGCAAGCAAATGACGGAAACGCGTAACAGACGGCTATAAATTGCAATACCGTTCACGAAATAAATTAAAATACATATCTCGATTTTCGACGTCGAGAATGACTTTGCCGCGAAAATTGAATTGACATTATATACAGCAATTGTTAAACTTACTTAGCTCAAATACTTTAAGTATATTGCCTCGCACTGGGCATCCTCTTTTTTTTACTGCACAAGCTAACGAGCAACAGCTCATCCGATGTTAAGTGGTTTTCAGTACACGGTTCACAACGTGAATTATCCACAGTTTCTCGACGGCTCTTATCAGTGGGTCGCGATCCCGATCCGGTGTTAGATTCTGCGAAGCACTGCTCTTGCTAGAACTAGTGTGCGCCAATTCTCCCAGGTTGAACCCGTGACCTCACCTACCTAATCACAAAATGAAATTATGTGAAACCAACCCTATGATTAAAAACAATTATTTCTCAAAACATAAATAAAGCATAGCAGAGATATAAAATATGGTATACGAAAAGCGTAGACTATAAATTAAATTAGTTTTCTAACATCGTGGTATGTAAGGAATGTAGATCTACACTACGACCTAAATTTAGTACTAATACGTAAGTATCTTAAGAAAGCGTCAGAACGCTACTTCGACAAAGCGGCGCGACGCGAAAACCTTATCGTGGCCGCTGCTAATTACTTATCCGAGGGGAAAAAAGTTTTATAACTGCACGGAATACGAGCTGTTATATATTGGGAATCGAAATATGTATATTAAAAATATTTGTGACACCCATGAATTAATTTGGTGTGAAAAAATATTAAAAATGATTTTAATTTTTTAATATTTCTACTACTGTGACAATTTTCCATTTTATTATTTTGTTTTAACGGGAACCTTAATGGTAGCGCGTTACCTTAATTCACACCATGGTGCTTGCTGTGTATTTGATATATTTAGAACGAGGTTAAATTTTGATAATTGCAGCCCACGAGATCACAATTATGACCAATTAGATGCAGCGGTATTGCATTATCGCAATCAATGGGACCTTCTATGATCACATAGATGATAGGCGATTCAAATTATTACTATGGTTAGGGCATGTTAATTTTCTTTTGGAAATAGATGGTGTTGGGAACAAAGCATGCACTAATTTACTGTATTCGAAAACTCAATGAACTCAAAAAAGTCAGATTCTTTTTCCTACCTATGCTGATAGCCTTGATGGGCTATTTCAGCTTCACCCTAAGATGTAGATGAGCTCACGGGGCATCGGAAACACGACCCACTGAGAAGATCCGGCGAGAAACTCAGTGGGCTGTGTCTGTGAGTTAATTCACGGACGGTAACAGGTGCTTGTGGTACCTAAAAGCACCAAAAATCAGCGCTATTCATGTTGAAATTGAAACCAATTAAATAGGTAGGTCGTATATCCATAATATCGTGATATAATACAGGTATATAAAAGTACAATTATTCACTACAAATAACATTAAAAAAATACGTATAACATAATTATTATAACAATATAGGAACAGAACAATGGGAGTGACACAGAATTAACTAAGCTCCGACGGAAAAATTATAGTGTGTCATACTCGTAAATAACAGGAAACTCAGTTAAAATAATATCGTGACCGTTATTATTATTGAACTTGACTTGTCGAGGAAAATGTGTATTAATTGTAAAGATATTTTTTTTGGAAGCTCTGGATTACTGAGGGCTCACTCTTTAGTTAATAACGTTTGACATAGAGTTGACAACTGCACGATTTGGAGGAGCAAAATTCACACCTGTTTTCTAGAGCCTATGCGTCATCCACTACGTTTCTTAAAATCATGTTTGTCTAATTTACGGTACTAATTAATATATCCGCGTTGCTCCAATTCGTTTTTCATAATTCGAGCATCGACAAGAAATACATAATATATTAAATAGAAACATGTACTTCTACTCGAGGGCACGGTAGTCATGGATGACGTTGAATAGATCGGAAGTCGTCGTGGCCTAAAGGATAAGACGTCCGGTGCATTCGTATGTAGCGATGCACCGGTGTTCGAATCTCGCAGGCGAGTACCAATCTTTCTGATGAAATACGTACTTAACAAATGTTCATGATTTATTTCCACGGTGAAGGAATAACATCGTGTAATAAAAATCAAACCCGCAAAATTATAATTTGCGTAATCACTGGTGGTAGGACCTCTTATGAGTCCGCACGGGTAGGTACCACCACCCCGCCTATTTCTGCCGTGAAGCAGTAATGCGTTTCGGTTTGAAGGGTGGGGCAGCCGTTGTAACTATAATTGAAACCCTTAGAACTTATATCTCAAGGTGGGTGGCGCATTTATGTTGTAGATGTCTATGGGCTCCAGTAACCACTTAACACCAGGTGGGCTGTGAGCTCGTTCACCCATATAAGCAATAAAAAAAAACATAATAAACTTAAATCGCCCACGTATAAATAAACCGAAGGGTCCGTGCACACGAGAATGCTCGCTCATTCATTGAAAATGTTCATTGACAAAACAGCTGTTCGTAGTAGAACCTTAACGCCCACATTCGTTCGTGTTGGAACTAGATTAGATAATCACTCCGGTATAGTTTACCTTGATATTTTGAGACGTTACTAAAAACACTATAATTATATAGCATTTTTTATTTCTTTCTACCTCACTTTCGATTAATAGAGTTGTAGACAATTTTTTTGACCGACCATTCCGTTATTAAATAAATTACGACATTATAATTTATTATATTAACTAGTGGTCCCCCGGTAGTCGAAATTCGACTATAATTAATTAAAATTATAAGTTTGTACACTATCATGCTTCTATTGTCAAAGACTTTTACGAGTATGATCACTTTAGATACACAAGACTGCACTTTAGACAAATATTAATAAAGACAAAAAATATTTAATCTATACTCAATTTGACCACATAGCACATAAGCAATAAGAAAAGTTTGACAATAAACAAATAGTACGCATGCGTGTCAAATACCCGGTCGTGTGTCTAATGTTTTTATTTATTGATTTAATGTATTTTTGTGCATAATTAAAAAAAAAAATTAACATTCTGCACTCCTTTTCTATATTCTCTATAAGTGTGGGAAATTTCATACTCCTCCATCCGCGCAATTTTCGTAAACAGGGGGTACAAAGTTTTTGCTTTACGTATTAATATATAGATAATTTCTGAAACGATTGTAAGCTATGAATATTCGTAACGGACTAAACGACGCGTGTTTCATTTCTTTACAAAAAAGCTGAATACACATTGGGACGTGTTTGTCTCATCCCTTTGCTTTGATCGAGAGCTGCAACTCCCCAATTCAAGTTAAGACGGCAACGTAATGTGAACATATTCGGGTGTTATTAATTTTATTTAAAACGAGTAGGCGGCGGAAGTCGCTGTAGTGAAAGCTTTTAAGTAGAACATCGATACTGACGTAACGATACTTTTAATTTTGGTAACAGCTTACAAGGTATCGAAATCGTACAGACACTTATGTAAATAAACGGTCGTGTTTATTTAATTAACAACACTTGAATGTTTTTATTAAAGCGGTTTGTGAATACAAAGATGTTGAAAATATATATTGGCGAGGCGTGGACATGTTATAAGAATGGTTAAAAAAAATTGGAACAAGAAGTGTTTAAATGTGAATGCAATAGGATTTTTGAGAAATGAAGACTGAACTGGTAAGATTGTGTATTTAATGTTGTATACTTTAAAAATAGAATATTGAGATGACGGCTGACAAATTACGTATTAATGCTGATCAATTTACCATCTGGACATATTGGTATTAAAACCAAGGCCTATTTAAGAGTTTTGCAGTAAAAATAGTACCAAGCAAGTAGGTTTTCTAAAAAGAACTTGCCTGATGACGTCACCTGTAGATTATGCACGGAAGAAGTGGAAGCTATACACAGATTAGACATCTTAATCGATAGTTATCCTAATCTAAGATTTCAACGAAGGTTCTTACCTAAAACATTTGCAAAAAAGTCTTGTGCACGGTTATTGGAGATAAAGAATAGAGATTGGGGGAATGATACAAAAGGTACTCGAAAGTCAAAGTGTACGTCTGCAAAATCTGCACAACCCCCTAAACTTAAGGGAAGACAATACGATGCATTCACTAGGATTAGCTTATGTATTAAACTTAATGCAATTGTGTGCTCAATGGCAGACTTATTGGCTAAGGTATTCCTATATATATATTATGAAAATAGATGAAAGGTTTGAACAAATACACACTTTATAGCTAATGGTGACAGTCTACTTACTTTACTATACATTTGTATTCTTGAAAACCGCGAGTATCTATCATAGCTCGAAAACGTTGACTCACCTTTACCTGAAAAGAGTCACAAAAAGAACATTAGTACATATTTTAAATAAACCAATTAATTACCTGTGACAATTCGAATTATAATTATCGTCGTACACAAACACATCGCTTTCCATATCGCCCACCTCTGAATGTCATGTGGGCGATGAATAGTGAAAGTGGTCATCCAGAAAGAAATAGAGAACGCGATTGCGTATTGTGTGTATGCATTACGGACTGTATTGCCAATCCCATTGAACCAACATCTTAAGTAATCTTAACAACTCATTTCTCTATTGTGAATGTGAACAAAACAAAAATAACATTTTTTGTTTTGGTTTTGTTTTGTTTTGTTTTATTGGAATAACAAAGTTTCATAAAACAAGATTGAAGGTTAACACCGGACCGGACCGGTCAATGGGATATGCAAAACGAGCGAACGATTTTATTCAATACACTGAATTTTTAATTGGTTCCAAGTCACTTAAGACCGGATTCAGAAAAACAGGTTAGATTTCCAATATGCGTACTTATTACTGGAATCAAAACCGGTGCAAAAATCAATTTCTTGTTAGGTTAAATTCTATTCGGAGCAAAGATAGATCGATATTTACTATGGATATTGTGACGCTTTCTTACTTTAAAAAAGATAGTTTTTTTTGTACATAAACAGTTTCATGAATCCGTTCAGAAATTGGAAGATTGAATTAGGAGCAACCTGCCTAATCTACAGATGGGTGTTTAGAAATTATAAATATAGCACAAAATGGTTCGTGACATGACTGTCTTTACAGGAGATGTTCCTACTCACTACTTCCAAGTAATTTCAATGCTGTCTCAACAAAAAGGTTTAGTATAGCTAAATCTACGTATGAAATAATTTACAAAATCAAAGCCGGCAAACATCCTTAGCTTTTCAGTGGCGATTCATTGAGACTAAATTTTACCAATTAACATGTCTGGCACGCGGGGGCCACGAATTAGAAAACGCAAGAGAAGCTACAATTAACAACGCTATAGCAATAACTTGGGCGTTATATTTCGGGCAGATAATTAACAAAGAGCAACTATTATTCGACGAAATGATTATTAGATGATTTCATAGTAACAGAATTGCCTCATGCTTCTCGTTTAATGTTGAACATTTGATTGTGAACCTAATTTGTAATAGTCAACATGAGAAATCTCGGTTAAGTAAATGTTTGGCAGATGATAAAAGGGCGCTGATCGAAAGTGGCACAGCATGAAACATGTTTCGATAAAACAAATCTTATCTATTTTTCTTAACCTGTTTTTCTCATGAGACAGTTCTTATGGATTTTATTATTTAAGTTACTCGATGGTTCTGTTTCAACAGTACAAAATTACTTCGCTTAAGGACAATTTAACTACAGTCGGGAGTAACGTCATTATCTACTTCGCTTCGCGTGTTCGCCATTACGGCCAATCAAATATTTGACCTTTGTGCGTTCGCAATTAAATATATACACATTGTGTATACAAAGGTATCAACATCAGATATCAATACAATTCTGTAAAAATACATACACAGAATTGGACCTAGCAATTAAAATTACCAGCTGTGCTGCCATCTGCTATTGTGAATCCGTGAGTTAATAAAAATTGATTACGCGTGCAACACAATCCCTTACCATACTTTAATATACTTAAATTAATGCGGTTAGAATTGGAGAGTTCTGCCGTGAAGCAGTAATGCGTTTCGGTTTGAAGGGTGGGGCAGCCGTTGTAACTATACTGAGACCTTAGAACTTATATCTCAAGGTGTGTGGCGCATTTACATTGTAGATGTCTATGGGTTCTAGTAACCACTTAACACCAGGTGGGCTGTGAGCTCGTCCACACAAATAGGCAATAAAAAAAAAATAAAAAAAAGTTAAAACTAATAAGAATTTAGCCGCTTATATATAAATTTTTATAAGCAGATATATTTAGTATGAACCTTTGAGCACAGAGAAAATGTGGGTGCAGTAAACGCAATTAGACAAATAAGTGTTATTAAGTCTTTAGCCTGATACCTGATTGAGGTTTCTCTCTCGTAAATAGGACAAGTCGTAAGAAACTTCATTGAATGACGCCTACCGTTGGAATAGTATAAATCTAACGGCTGTGAAATAAGTCGGTAAGGAAATACATAATGGGTTTGTTTAGCATTTAGCCAGATCGAAGAATTGGAGCATGTCGGAATTTTTGTTCGTTATTACGTGTAGAATGACGGTTTGTCAATGTCATCAAGACTACAAAAAAAAAAGATATAAGAAGAAATAACTCCCTTTCTTTCTTCTCATCTCTAGTTCTGTACATAACCTATAAACAATAATCGTGACAACACAGGTCGTAAACTCACAGATCGAAATCCAAATAAATGTGGAGTGTCTTACGTTACGATAAAATCTACGCTGTTCAGTGTTTTCTTGTTGTATTTACCATTTGGTTGTCCTACTTATAACCTTATCTTTGTGCCAGGCATCATTTACGACGACGACACAAACACAAATATTCCCAATCGACTACCAAGTAGCCCATGCGAATACTTTAAATTTTGTATTTCTCATTCGTAATTCGCAACCTTAACGTTTAAAGTCGAAAATTACAGGCGCTAGGATGACACATGTTTTCAATTCTCCTGAAATAATATACCTATTTATTTTATTTACGAAGTCGTGATATATTCAAACAGAACGGCCATGGCGCGCGCTTATAACTTGTTTTCATTGGTTGCCCGTCTGCAAACTTAAGCTAATAAAAATATACATGACATAAAAAAAAATAGCCTTCACGGTGGTTGCAACGTTATTTTCATTACCAAGAATGACGAAATGTTTCGGGCTCTCGCGCATGACGCCGGTCCGGGAAAAATCAAGTACAAAGGTCGTAATTGGTTCGAAATAATCCAGCAAGGCTCACAAGAAACCATGACCCAGATTACCATTTTATTTGTAGAGGCGTTACACGAGCATCTTTGAAGAAAACTAGTACAAACATTTCGTGTCATGATCGTGTCAATACGAGTATTACTATTCATTCTTAATAAAGCTCTATCCAATATTTCATAGTTGAATAATTATAGCCTTTAAAATATATTAGCGCAGTTTAAACTGTACAATTTGGGCGTTCAATTCAAGAAAAAGCTTTATTAGTTTGATTTTGAAGATTAAAATCTCTTGCCGTAAACTTTATTTAAGCATAGCCCAGAGGCCTGATTCGTTTACCTACGCCCAATGTCATTACATATCTTATGACTTTTTTAATACCACTTTAGAATCAGTCGAAACACGTAATCCTCGAATTACATCAGTTCGTACGTTTACAACTAGTTTGTGCGGTCACAGCATATATAGGTATGAGATATGCAAATACTATTAATATTACCTTCAATATTACAATTCTACAATACGAGAGCTAGCCGTGACTTTATATGGTCCGTTCGTGGTTATCTCAGGTAATAATGTTATGAATGTTACGACTCGTTTATTTTTGCTCTGTTACAAAGAGTGAAGTCATCGTTCTATTAAAATTTTATGTTTATTATACGGTTCTTTGTTGTATATAAAATATATATTTTGGAATGCAACTAATTTAATAATAATGTAATATGCAGATAATAAGTGATACAATCGCGTTCTATCCAGTCAGCTAAATTTGCACATACATGTTTAAAAAGTACCAATTACATTGATGCACGTTATAAACCACACAACTATTAAAATCAGCATTTTGAATTCGCTTGTTAAGTTAATATTTTTAGATTATTATCCTTGTCCTGTATTAATCCAGTGACTGGTATAGTGGCGGTTACTCTGTTAACATTATTTCATTATTTATTGTATTAGTTCTTTTATTAATTTTAATAATTTTGATTTGGTTTCATTTTTGTTTGTTTTTGTTTTTAGTCATTCTGATAAATTGTAATTTTAATTTTATTGTATTTTGATTTAGATGTTATGTAATTGTATGTGACATTTTATGGGCTTAAGTTGCCTAAAAGAAACGCATTTCATTTCATTTCATTAATCCAATAAAACTATGTTGTTGTTGTTTGAGTACAGTAACAAAGCGACACATCAACCAACACCATCACCCTTTTCGTCCGACATTTTTTTGCGAAATCATGATCGATGTGCCATTACCGGTTTCTTCAAAAGCTTTCTACATTATTGTAGGGGCCCCGGGGCATTTTTACGAGTGTTTAATACTGAGGCATCCATTAGTACATATCTTTGCGGACATAAATTTATGCGTGTCAGAAATGAGTTCAATAACATTGCGTATGACGACAAAATCGGTACTGTATTCACGCTTATCGTCCTGGATGCGTAGACACAGGGTGCGGTGCGCATGCGCCAAGCGGATACGAGCACCATATAAATAGCCGGCGTCTATTTTTGTCGGGACACAGCCATCAGGCGCCCACCATGTGCCACGTAGGCCAAGTCGATTCGGGTACTGGTTTAAATTAATTGAACGCGCCTCGCATATTAAGTCACATGTGAAAAGGGGTTAGTTCCTTACAAATCTGCTGTGAGTCATAGGATATTGTTTTAAGAGGAAGACTTAATTTTTATCCAACGATACCAGTGACTTGTCAGCTACTTCTAATTGAGAAATAAATATAATAGAATGCTCCAAGGTTAGCAGAAAATGTCATTGGAGTAATTAATTTTAATAATTTATCGCACCATTTAAACATTTTATATTTTTATAGATCTAATCTTATTTTTTCGGTAAAAGTTGCCTTCATAGTTAAATATTATTTGCTTGTTGAATTGTTTTTTTAAGTTTAGAATTTATATTGTAAATAATGTCAGAATTTGAAAATATGTACGTACAATAAATTCATTTTGTAAATATTTGTAGGTGTTTCGTGAGTTCTATTAATTTCTTTAGTTTACATTTTCACCACAAGGTCATGGACACGTCGGCAGTTTACAAATATTTATCTCTCCACTTGCCACCAATGAGCAATCGCGTGGGAATTCAAGACCAAACAGACATACGATGACGCTGGT